CCAAGGAAATAGATGCATGAAACTGCACACATCTTTCCTGGAGAGTAAAGAAAAAGTATAGTATTCAGAGCAGGGCAGGAGCCATGCTCCAATATTGCTCTGTGCATTGAGCCACTGATTCCCATAGCTTAAAGTAAGAGTTTTTGCAAAAGCTGAATAAAAGCATAGCAATTTTCTGAGAAAGTGCAAGAAATGGCATTAATTATACGAAGTTATTGTCTACCAAAGCTGCTTTCAATCATTTTTATATTCAATAGCATGCATCATCATGAATTGGTGATAAATATAGATGAAGAAAGGTAGTGATAATGAAAGTTATACAGGTGTAAATTAGAGCATATTTTTAAACTACTATGAAGTCAGAGCTTCTGGAGATAACACAAAATTATAGGATATGTGCACATCCTAAATTGAATCCTGGAGAGTTTTGTGCTGTTGTATGCTGGTTGATTATCACTTGGGCAATGCTGTCTGGGAAAGTAACAAACCTCTATTTCCATAGCTTCCTACTCCAAACCATATTCTGAACCCCAGAGAGCCAGAGTGGGGACAGTACAAGCCCAGGGAGCCAGTGTGGGCACAGTACAAGGCATTTGTATCGGACATACTCGAGCCATGGTCACTTACTATTTGGGGAGCAGCTATGGAGGCACTGTAACCTCAGGTCCCCAGCCTCAGCCCTCTCCTCCTCAGTCCTGGAAAAGAGAATATAGAAGTAGCACCTTTAACAGAAACAAAGGCTGCTCCCAAATGTACAGAAATGGAAGAGTCAAAACCAGTAAGAGTATGACATACCTGGGCTCCTCCATCTATAGCCAGCCAGGCCCATTATGGAGATTGTAATGGTCTCAGGAAGGACTTGGTTCCACTGGGCTTTGCCCCTCTTGGGGAAAGCTCATGTAAAGAGGCCATGGGGAATAGAAATGAGGGGCTCAGGGCTGTGTCTCTCCCACTCTTTCACTCTTCAGGATGGATCTAAGTGTTGGGGGCTAACAGCATTGGACAGTACATGTGTGGTGGAAGTGAGAGTGTTGCTACTGCTACACCATTTTAGTGCCAGTCCATGTAATTTTCCAGAAGGAACAGCTCTGCAGATAAACCTTCCTGTGTTGCAGAATAAAGTACAGAATAAATCCAAGGCAGAAGGTTGCACTCAGCCCTGTGTGCTAATGAAAGGGGAATAGTAAGATTGGAAATCGTATTGATGTCTGCATGAAAAGGAACTGCAAATGGGAGCTACACTAGGGCAGTAGCCGAAAACCTGTTCAGATATCTGGGTGACCAAGGAGGAAATCAGAGCAACAAGTTGGCAAGTTTTTGGAAAGCACAGATGTGATCTGCACAGCTCGCACGAGTACAATGGAGTTGGACAAAGCAAACTGTGAGTATGATACAGAACAGAAATATACAAAAAAGGGGAAAAAAAGCATGTGTGAATGATGATTTGAGAAGTTCTGGTTCTCACAGAGTTGGGAATAGTCCTAATTTATTATCTCTGCAATAGTTTTGGTCCTGCTGTCTGTTTCAAACTGCTCTTAGCACTTCAAAACTACATTTTCTGCCCCTGCAGAGACATTTTTGTCTGCACTGGTATCTATGGCAGTTTGAACTCTGCTCACTCCAGAATTTCACCAGTAGCATCTGCCTGATGTTGGGTTGGTTTTGCAGATCAAAGTAAGGGCCCAGTCAGCAAGAAAAATGTTGTGAAATCAGCTGCAATGCCACAATGGGTGTTGATGGACAGCTGCAAGCTGGCAAAAGCTGTGCTACAGATGGGTGAACTGGGGAAAGCTGATTCCTCCAGATTTACTTGCTAAATTTGTATGTTGGTTTAACAGCACCTTACTCTCACTTACTGTGAGATTTGCTTCCCAGGGAACAAAGGGCTAGATACCAGACTGGAGACAGGGCTCTAGGATCTCCTCTCCCACCAGTGCCATGGTGGGTTAACCCTCCTTACCCCTCTCTGCAGTGGCTTCAGTTCCAGTGGGACTCCTGGAACTTCCAGCACCCCTGGCCTCCTGCAGCCTGACCAGGCATGGATGTGTGACCAAAAGCTGCTACTCTCTCCTCTTGTCATCGCTAAAAGAGAGCCATGGGTAACTCTACTAATATCACTTCACTAACTTTTTATTCCCTGCTCAAGGCAGTGACTAGCCCTCCATGAGGAGCTCACATGGCTTTGATTTCCACCCTTTCAGGCCCTTATTCCTCACCCCAGGCTTCAGTCCTCACATAGCTTCACCCCAAGCCTGGACATTCCCTTGCCCCAGGCCTTTCTCCTTGTAGCTACAACCATCCTTGTTCCAGCAGCTGTGATTCTTGCCCAAGGTCTCCATCTGTCCCTCCAGAACTTTCTGCTTTGCCCTCAGCATACCAAAGAAGCAGAGAGGAAAGTTTTCATTCTTTTCCTGAAAGCAAAGTCCACCAGAGTTCTGGGAGCAGGGAAGGTGGGGGGGATTGGGGGAATGGCTGAAAGGGGTTTTTAATATATGAAAAAAAAGGAAGGCAAAAAACTGAGGACAAACTTGGGAAAGGCTTTTGAATAACCTGGCTCTGCTGTCTCTTGCCTGAAGGGATGTGATGGCAGTGTTAGTGCAGCCAGTTGGTCTAAATGAGCAGAATTCTGGTGAATGTGTCTTAATTATTACCCAGCCATATGGACAAAGCTGCCGAAACAGCTACAGCTACTACTAATTTCCATCTTGCCTTCCTCTCACTGCCTTTTTAGAACCCCTGAACTAGATGGCTGTGCATTTACTAGTTAGACTGAGAAGGCTGAAGGTTTGATAGTCTGGGTACACTGAAGTAGGGGCTGCAGTGGCAGGGATGCCCCAGCCCCTCTTGAGGGTGCTTCCTTTTCTTATGGCCTTACAGATACAGCAAAGTGTGTGGTGTCATGACATTGCTGCACTGTGGAGCAGTTCCATCTCTGTGGCACAGCACTCCTGGAACCACCATGAGTGCTGAAGGGTGTTACAGAAGCCAAACAGCTGGGTGGGGGGAGAGAAGAAGGTCCAGCACGTTGACATTCCTTCAGCTGGTTGTCACATAGATTATCAGACCATGTAGGAGAGGACAAAGAATCCCTGTCCATTTAATTTTTCTGGAGGGATCCTCAGAGCCAAGGAAGCAGAAAGGTGTGTGAGGGTTCCTCCTCTGCTAGCTGGGGTGAACCATAGACAAGGGACTATGCTCAAGACCATATGGGGCAAGAGTATTCATATGAAACAGAGCAGAAAGAGAAACTGAGAGGGAAGGAAGAGAAGTACTTATTATGAACAGACACCAAATTAACTAAAAACTGAAAAAGATGAGCAAAATTAAAGACAAATATTCAGTTGAAAGGACAAGCAGAGAAAAAGGCCAAACAATAAAATGACAGAGGCTGAAAGCTGATGTGTTGCAGATAGTTCTGATAATTTCATAGAACTCTTAATACAAGAGCAATACCTCCAAGTCTGTATAATTTACCTAATTTCTTAGAGTTGCCCTAAGGGCTATTGTATCTGTTGTATCTGAAGAGCTACAATATCTTTTGACTTTGTGGTATGAAATACAGAGTCTGTTTTGTCTTGACTCTTTGAAGTATCCCAGACCCAGGAAGGAAATAATGGTTGTGTATAACTCCATGAACCTTTGATTTTTCAGCAGCTGTTGAAATGTTCTCCCAGTGACAGGAACAGTGAGATGCTTGGCTGTTGAGAGACAGAGCCTATGTCCTTGGGGTGCAGGTGAGCAGATAATTTGGCTGTCTGTGTAAGCTGTGTCTGTTTGTAATTGGTTGTGCTTATGTGTGACTTCAGTCTGGACAGCTCTGTGTGCTGGTTAAGGTGGGGTCAAAGGCTGTGGAACAGCATTTGGAGTGTACACAGATATTCGTGTCATTTTGAGGGTCCTCCACAGCAGAGTCTGCTCTTAGGATGTGGAGACTGAAGGTAAGGAGCAGCAGGAACACAGACTGTGAGGCTGCCACTCCAGGGGAGGGGATGGGTGAGCTGGTGCAGAAGGAGGTCAGGACCAATGGAATGATGTGGCTCATCCCCTGCACCTCCTGTGGTGATGGTGACATGGGGGACACTTTTAACTGGGAGCTTTCAAGGGACCATTTCAGCTTTCATCTAATACATCTCTAGTAAAGCTTCCGCTGTTACATGCAATTAAAATGAAGTGAAATACAATGATAGTATGTTTGAAAAAGCACTTGTAAGATTCACAGTATTTTACTGTCAGTACTTTTTAAAAAGCAGATTTCTTCTCTGGGAGCCAGGGCCTGTAGAAGAATATTCCAAAATAACCACTTTTATCAGGCAAAACAGGCCTAACACTTTTCTTCCCTGTCTCCCAGATGATAAATGTAGCTGGTGAGAATAATGACAAAGCTTTAACTTTCTCTAGACATATCCTGCTCTTAGAAAACTGCCTGTTGCACAAAGTCTATCCAAGGCAGAGGCTAGATGTGTGCTGGATGTGCACTGAGGCAAAGGAACATGCAAAAAGGGTAATGATATGTACAAAGTATCTGGAAGGAAGAAAGGCTGGAGGGTTTTATGCATGAGGTATGAAAAGGAACATGGAGGTGGAGGAGTAGGAGGGAATGTGAAGTATCCCTGGATATATGCACAGGAAGGAGAGAGGATTTATTTTATTTTCTATTTGTGCAGAGGCAGATGGGAGCTAAGGGAAGTTGTGTGGGACTGTGGGCACCCACAGCATGTAGCAACATGGTGTTGCTAATGGACAATCCCTGGACCCCCTGTATTCCCAGGTCAAGCAGTGAAGCTGAGCATGAGTAGGATAACTTCAAAATAAATGTGGTATATTACTGCACAGCTTTAAATCTCCAGAATGATCCCATGGTAACACTGTCTCTGGGCTTCCTATTATGTATTCAGATACAACAATTAAAATAATGTGATATAAAAAAAGAAAGTCATAATCATGAAGTTTGGGAACACCACATGCTTCAGCTGTGTGTGCCAAGTGTGTGTGGAAGGGCTGGGAGGATGTGACCAAGGAGAGAATTGTTGGGGGTGAAATTGTGTAATGTGGTGAGGGCAAGAGGAGTCAAAATCAAACCCACAATCCACATGAGATAAAGAGGTTCCTGTCCTCCAGGCCACCAGTGTGTTTTGCTATTTACTGTTTCAGAGAAGGCAGCAGTGGTACTTTAAACAAAGTTTCCTTAGCATTTCCCAATGTAACTCAATATGCTGTTCCTTATCATTCTGCCAGGCTCTTCTCTGCACTTCTCACTTCAGTTCTTTGTCTGCTTTCCCTCCTGAGTGCTGATTTCTCCTGAGGCACATACTGACCCTTCCTCTTCATTGTCTTTGGGCTTTTATTTCTCACACAGAGAATTTTTTAGAAGTCACTGTCATCTCCAAATGCAAAATTAGGAAAATCATGATTGCTTGCATCATTTCTCTCTTCCTTCCAGACTGTCTGAAGGGTAGAGTGAAAACTGGGAAGTTAGCAAAGGAATAACTGTAACAACAGAATAGTCCTAGGGGTGGCTGGAAAATGCCTCAGCAGCTGTTAGGATTATTGGGAGGTGCTTATCACACAGGCTGAGAAAGGATGGCTGTCACATTTGTTATCTCCCCACAGTTTTACCATCTCAGAGAGGGAAAATCAGCTCACATTGGTTGCACAGCCTCTTATGAATTCCTATGTAGCTGATACATATTGCAAGGACTTGTCAGTCATGTGTTTTCATGAGCATATAAGAAAGGGCAGGCACTGGGACATCACAAAATTTAAGAAAAAAAAAAAACAAATCAAGGAGGACCTTTTGCGTTTGCCTTTAACCCACACCTTCTCCAGGTATCTCAGAGACTCCACCCACACTGGAGTGGGTGAGAGCCTGGATGGTCTGAGACTAGCAGAGTCCATGAAAACCTCCCCTGATCCAACGACTGACTGCACTGACCTTTCTCTGAAGTACTTGATGGCTTCCTGGTCTAGGAAGTTCTGCTCTTCTCGAAAGCCCTGCTCGAAGATTTTGCGCTTGTGTCTGAACTCAATGACAGTCTTAGTGTAGGAGTTGAGGGTGGTGACAGAGGCAGCCATGCAGCAGGTGAAGGAGCCCCATGCCAGACTGTGGAGAGAGAAACCAGCAGACACAGCTGGGTTAGCACAGCAGCTCATGTTGTATTTCTGACATAGAGGCACACATACACAGGCTGTGACCAGGCAGGTCTGTCAGTGGTGACAAACCTGTTCTTCTATCTTACCTCAAATGACCTGGTGCTCATGCTCAGGCATGCAGGCAGGAGCCTGGGCTAGGGGCTGAGCACCACGGTCATCCCGTGGAGAGCCATGTGGCAGAGTGCTAACATGAACACCCAGTGCACTCCAAGCCAAACACCTCCTGATGGCCCTCTGAAATGCTGCAGAGCCTTGCAGACAAGTGCTTAAATCTATATACTCCTGGAAGGAGTAATGCCCCAAAGATCATTATTTTGGACCAGGGGAAGTTGTCCAGCATCTATGGGAAATCGACTGTACAATGCTACTGCAGGGATGGTTTCTAATCTGGGGGGTTTTATGCCTTCATTAGACTACTGTATTTCCTTCTTCCCTGGCTCATGGACATTTCTAGCATTCTTGGCTTATATCTGGTCTCTGAAAGCCTGACCAGAATAGAAAACAGCACTTCTGTTTTGAGGAGATACCCAACCTGAGGATCTCCTGACTGACCCCCTCAGTGTGCAGGCACTGCCAGACAATCTTGGTCAGCCAGGGACAGGACACCTGCAAGTACCAACCAGGAGCACAGGGAGAGAGAGGGAGAAGGAAAGTGGAAGGAAAAAAAAAAAAAAAGACTGGCTTCAATGCCAAACTGAACAGCAGCAAGTGTTGTCTTGGGTGTCCTGGCAAGGAGCAGCAGCTGGAGCTCTCTGCTCTCTGCTCATGGACAGGGATTCCCTCCAGGTTCTTCTACCCTCCCCCTACCTCACTGACCCACCTTCAGATGGGGCTGGGGGGAACTCATGGCCCCAAGGAGTTTAGATGCTTTTTGAGCATGAAATGGGGCTACAAAAAGGTGCACTGAATTCCTTTTGCCCTCAGAGCTTCTGTGTGTTCTGGCTCCCCTTGACTTCACATTCAGCTCTGGCTACACATAGTTTACAGTGGCTTCCTAGCTAACTTGGATTAAATTCATCATCTGTGACAGTGACACGCTACATGCTCCTTTTTTTCACTACTTCTATAACAAATTGGTCTGAATTATGCAGAGCAGAAGGGATACAGCCCCAGTAGCATTGTCTTATAAATACTCATCGTCAACAGAGCCCTCAGCATGAGCTGTTTTGCCATTCTGCAAAGGACCTGCAGACAAGGAAGCAGTTTCTCGTTTCAAATTAGACACATCTTGAAAAGGAACACATATTCATGAACTGAAAAATCTGGGGGAAAATGGCTCAAGTAAACAAAAATGGTTCATTTCAATGATTTCAAAATTCAGCTCATAACAAGCCCTTCAGGGACTCCTGAGGCAGTGAGGCATGGGGAGGCAGCTCTTTCCTTGTCATTTTTGAACCCATTTGCCAGATGTAATTCAAGGAGAAGGAAATGTAGTGACCCCTGGCGTGATCAAGTTCCCTTAGGTTTCCCATGGTTGAGTGGAGAAATGGGAAGGAAACTCGTGCTAGGTGTGAGTGTCCAGGCACAGGGAAGCCTGACATGTACCTTCCTCCTACATGGAGTGTGTGGAAAAGCTCCAACAGTGGCAACCATTTCCAGCTGGGCTCCTAAACAGTATTCAGGAAGAAAACCACGATTCACTGTGCCTGGGGAATGACATTTGGAGAAAAAATTTTCTTGGAAGTTTCTGGTGGTTTCTAAACATGAACTCAGAAGTGCTGAAAGGTTCAGAGAAGGAAATACAGAATGAAGACTCAATATTTGGCATTTAGCAAATCATAATAATGAGGCAGTTGTGATAGCCGTGTTTTAGTTTTATGGACCTTGGTTAAATGTCACTTATTTCCAGGTGTGCAGAGTGGTTCTCCTAGCTGTAAGAGTTACATCCTGCCTTAGGTGAAGAGCTCTTTCAGAGCAATGCCCCTCCATGCCAGCTGTGCCCCAGATGTGGGGAACTACAGTGCTTCTGGGAGCTGAGCTCAGGCCTGGGCTCTCATGCTCCTCTGTGGCTCAAACAGTTCATGTGTTTTGTATTTAGAGGGGCTGAACTTGAACATCCACTGATTCTCAGAGCCACTGAAACCCCCTGCCTGGAGAGTCCTGACTCATGCCAGAGCACAGACCATTTGTTTTCAGCCCTTCTTAAAGAAGGCATTCAGGTCTGGGTGATGCCAGGGGAGGCTGGAGCTCTCTGGTCAGTGGTGGCTCAATGTTAGCTGGAAGGGAGAAGCCTCACTTTTACTGTATTTGACTTCCAGACCTTCCTTTTCCAGGTCTGATATCAGTCACTGGTGTGGTGTGAGGAACCCCACAGCCTCCCTCAAGCTGCTGAGCACCACTGCAGGCTGGAAATACTTCTGCTGTTCATACCCTGCCCCAGAGGAGCTGCAGCTGAACTGATGTTTGCACCTTGCCCTGTGTCCTGCATAGGAAAGTGAATTGCCTTGGAAGGTACCAAGGAGGGAGACTACCAAATCCAAGAAGCTGCTTTGGGGTGGAGCTCAGCTGTAACTAGGGTGACCCCACAGATGCTGAGGAACCATCTCAGGAAAATGGGAAGAGTGGAGGTTGCTCCCAAATATTTTCCTGTTTGTGGGAATCTCCAGTGTCCTCCACAGTGAGACTAACCCAGGGGCAGTGCTGGTGTTTGAAGAGCAGCCTGTGGTGCCCTGGCTGTGGCTGCTCTGGGGCTGGGCTGGGGTCAAGAGAGCAGCCAGGGCTGCAGCTCCATCTCCCATGGCTGGAATGAATGGGCCCAGGGAGATCTTGTCATGTCCCATGGGACCCACGAGCCTGTGGTGCCTGCTCTGAGATGTGGAGGCTCTTGGCTTGCACAAGATGAAGGAGAATTAGCTAATGAGTGTTTATCACTTGAGACATTTAACAGCATTCTGAATTTTGAGTCTTGCAGGAAATTATAGAATAGATTACTGAAGACAAATATGCCTTATTATTAAAATATATTGAAAATTATACCATTATGATGACAGAAGTGAAATATGAATGCAGTATATTTATAAGCTCATCATCACATACAATAAATATTCATTATTGAGGCAGAAAATAAGCTGTATTTTAAATATAATGTGATTTATACTTTGTAGCATGTTGCTAAAATGTGAGTAACTCCTCCCATGAAACACAGTGTAAAGAGGAGAGAAGGAAAGCCTAATAATTCCCTGCAGTGCTGTGCATAAGAAGTATTTGTATTTATTTATGGCTGTTAGCAAAGGTTGTTGTCTCTGCTTTGAGATGGAAAGAAAATAATATGCTATATTTAGAAATGACAAAAGGAAAAGTATTTTCCATATCCATCCAAAGAAGCTGATGCCTCTAGAGGAATGGGGATGTTGTTTGCAGGTATTTTTATGCTCCAAAGCCTCCTGTTCTTGTTAAGCTTCTTATAAACTTGCAAGCAATATAGCACAGTTGGTGTGTCTTGGCCAAATTATTTTTATATGATTTTTAGAAGATAAATGGGAAGGGTAAAAAAAAAAATACTGCCTTGTCCATTTTCCCAAGCCTTCTCAGCCCTGATGCACAGGGAAGTCTCACAGAGCCAGGGACACTGTGACTTCCCCTGCCACGCTGAGAGCTGCACTGTAAGGTACAGCTGAGCCATCAATTAAAAACCAAACCCCAAACCAACAAAAACGCTAAAAGTCTCTGAAATGTCATGGCAATTATGTACCTAAATTGAACTGTAATGAGAGTGCTCAATCTGTGTTTGGTAATTGTGGGTGCTGTTTATTTACAGATGCTCTGTACCTGCAGATAGGCACAGCTGCTGCTCACAGCCACTGTAAGTGTCCTGCACACCTCAACCATCCCACAGCCCTGGGGGTCTGTGCTCCTGGGGAGCTGTAAATTCACATATGTGTTCCTGGAAATTTGAGGTGATACAATCTCACGACAGACTCCAAAAAGAAAAGAGGTTAACTGGTGGTGACACTTACCAGAAGGACCATCCATAGTCCCAGGAATGTGGTCGCCAGTCCTCTGGCCCAAGGCTGACTGTCACTTGGAAAACTTGAGTATACATCATGTGTGCCACCATCCCCAAGAGACCTGGGAAGCAGGGATTACAACAGGAATTTTTGTGCTAATGGTTTTTATAATTCTTGAGATTAGCTAGTGCTGGAACTGCTCTGAGAGCTCCAAGAAAGTCTTTGTTGTACTTCAGTGCCTCCTGTTCTAACTGTGGAGGAGGGAGCTGCATGGGCAGAGGGAAGATGTGACTGAGAGCTCGTTATTTTACATCATACTGAATTCTCAATTAAAAGACGAGTTAAACAAAGAAAATTGTTGAAGAAAATGTTGCACAATTAGCATCACCACCAACCTTGCTGCTGCAAAACAGGGGTGAGCCACCCACCAGTTATCCCACTTAGCCCATTGCAGACAGGCCTCAGGTGAGAGCACGAGCAGAGAGGCTTCTGTAGGCAATGCAGTCTGAATGTGTCAACGCCAAACAATGATATGTTGTCTCAACAGTTGCTAAGATCTATAAATTTGAACACTTACAAAACACTTGGAAGTTACGCAAGGAAGCGAAGTGAGCTCCGTACTCCTGATGATGAGTGGTGAGAGGACACCACAGGGATACTGCTGGAGGACAGTGCTGCTGGTGCTTGATTTTGTGACACTGTTAAGAGTTTGCTGAGGGAATTGGGTGAAGATTAGACAGTGTGTTAGTCACTGCAGCCTCCCTGATGTTAAACAGGACTGCAGCTAAATCACAGGAGGGCCTGAGTTTGCTCTGCCACTTAGCTGGCCAGAATGGTTCCTCAGCTTAAAAAAACCTGCCTGAGCTTTATGTTTAGACATTTGGCTGAGGAAAATCCAAGCCCACTTTTCAAGCAGTGGTTGACCACAAGCTCTGGTGCTTGGAGTATTTTCTAGCTGCAATAATTTGGGATGTGCCTGCCTCGGTACCTGATCCCTGCTGAGCTCAGGGAAAAGTGTGGGTTCAGGCAGTTAGCTAGAGAGGGGGAATGGTGATCACATCACAAATAGTCCTTGGGCCTACAGATATCAGGAAGCCTCTTGTGCTGCAGTGACAGTTCAAGGCACTTCGAGATACTGCCATTCTGCCACAGTGGGGTACAGTGAGGTCCCATATGTTACACTTTGCACCAGTCACTGGTATTTCTGACCACCTTCTTTTTTCCATGGTTGCCCTATCTCCCTGTGGAAGGTCCTGGTTTACCCTCCCCATCCCCAAATTTTGATTCTTCTTTCCTTCTCACTCTCAGAGTCTAAAGCACTTCATTAGTCTCCCGTGGAGGTGTGTGGATGACTCAGGGCAGTTCTGGGGGAGGGAAGTCAGGAAATGTCATGTTTGTGTTGTGGGCATGTTTAGCAGGACCTTCAGCAAGACAAATGCTGTATTTGATACAAACAACTGCAGAGGCTGAAAGAAGACATTCTGTTACAAGCAGCTGTGGTGATTTGCTCAGCTGCCTCGTGTTGGAGTGACACACTGCAAAGTCAGGAGGTGGAAAGAGCAATTCACTCCAGGAGGAATGCTACTTGGGCAGGGTGGGTGGCCTAATGGGAGCCCAGCAAACTGGTACACACCTTGCTTGTTTCTGCCTATATTTAATTTCCAGAATGCACTGGGAGCTTGCTGTACTTTTTAAATTGATGGATTTCTCTTCAGCTGACAGGTATGCCTTGATCTGAAGTTTGGGGGTTGCTGTTTCTATACCTACTGTCAGTAATTTTTCAACCTTAAGAAAATATTACAGCCTGCCCTGAGACATAGTCCCTGGGTGCCAGCAGGAGGTTTGACAAAGCCAGGATGAGCTTCAGCAAGGCTGAGCTGCTCTTCTGTCACACAGACCCTTAATGGGGTTTCAGCAGTGTTCAGACCTGTCCCTGTGTGGGAGGCCAGGATGACAGTCCACTGATACAGATGACTACGAGGTCACCAGCAAGTCCTGCTCGAACACAGGGACCACAGTAGAAACGTGTTCATTGCTTTCTCTGCCAGGATCTGTACACCTGGAGGTGCTGTCAGTGGGGTGATGCCATGTACAATCTACAGCAAAGCAACACGAGTCTTTTGTTGTGCTGCTTCATGCACTTTTGGTTTGGTTTGGTCTAGTTGAGATGTGCTTTGTGAAGTTCTCCATGGGGATATCCTATGGCCCTTTTTCTCCACGGGGATCCCATCTGGTCCTTTTTGTTGTGCACTTAATGTCACATTTTGGCTAAAAGAAACTGCCTGTGACATGAGTCAACACATGCTGTATTTACAGGCTCTGTCCCTCCAGCTGGCTGCCTGAGGCTGGGCAAAGAGGACAAAATGCCTGGATGCCCACCCACCTGGAGCCAGGGCAAGAGGTGTGTGGAGATGGAAAATCCTGGTAATGTGGTTGGCTGGAGTGGATAGGAGTGCAGAAACTGTTTGAGATCATGAGCCTTGCAGGACCAGAGCTGTTTCTAAGGTGTCAGTAAGGGGAGAGATTGAGACACTAAATTTGGAAAAGACAATATATTTTAAAGCATTCCCAGATCATGGAAATATTGTTTATGGAATATATCACATGAATTAAAATGCTTTAGTATAAATATTACTTGAGAGACATATGTAAGTGTTTTAGCTTGTGTGAGGTTAAGAGGGATACCAAAATCATGACATTGTAGGGTTTTTTAAATGGCTCATGGGAGGTTAAGGAACAGCAATAAGTGACCACACCATTAGGATATTTTTCCCTTGAGCTTTAGATGTTGAGCTATGAGAATATGAAGATCTCACTGAACTTTTAGGAGGGAACTCTAGCATGAATTTAATGAGAGTTGTTATGGTCCAATGCAAAGTCCTCTTCATTACCCCATTTCTACTGAGCTATGTCATTATAAATATGCTAAGCTGAAATAAATAGAGTTGTCTTCTTTCTTCTGATATCCCTGTCACTGGAAAAACCAGCTACAGTGTGTTGGGGTTTGGGGCTTTTGCTTCTTTCTATTCTTCTATGCTTTTTCCATGTACAATTTTGAAGTTTATATTTGGAGCACCTTGGCAATGTACATTAAAATAGAAAGATGTGTAGGAAAGAAAACTTCAGCATTCTTAAAAATCTTTCTTCACCATTAACTACAGTTTTAAAGACAGAAACAGCATGGAAGTAATTGCCTGAATGCTGAAGAATTCCATGTGGTTTGATTTTGAAAATTGAACTGATTTTTTTTTTTTAAATCCAAATTATATCCGAAGCAGAAAAACAGGCTTTAGCAGAAAAATATACTTTAGCTGTTCTGACCAGATTTTTTGTCATCTCAGCTCTCCTTCTGATCTTTTCTTGATTCATTCTTAATTCACAATTTGCAGCTACCCCTGAAGATACAAACTCCTTCACAGGGTGTGCACTGCCTGCTGTAATAGCTTTCCTCTCCAAATGCAGGAGAATGAAATGCACTTTTCTGCAGAAGTCCTTTCTGCCAGAGGGGTCCATGCAGGAGTGCTCACACGAGCCAGCTGAGGCTGCTGCTCAGATAAATCCTGGGAAGTGAGTTTTTAGCCAGAAAAAACTTCACAGGAGTGAAGGAGCATGTAACTAACTGCAGGTTCACATTTCATAGCTTCTTTTAGAGAAGTGAATTCCTCAAGTTCGTATGCTGAAGGGCTCCAAGTACAGACTGAGCATGAAAATAGCCTGAAACAGTTGTTCTGAGAGATGTACATGTCCCCACATTACTCTTGGGGTTGCTCCTCAGTGTGATTATCAGAACCCTTTTCATTCTCAGTATTGCTAAAGAACAGGACAGGCTTCTTCCTTTGGTTGGAAGCATCCAACCCTCACCTACTTCCAGGATAAACACAGGAAAAAGAATTTTCTACACTACATGTTTTTAATTTTCTGTTGGAAAATGAGTGTGATGATGCTGCAAATGGAGCTCAGGCTGTAGCTGTGGTAATGGCTGTGCAGGCTGGGGAAGGATAATTACTGCATTGCTGTTGTGAAATCAGGAAAGAGGCAAATTTATCATGCAGTCCTTGTGCCAAAGGAACAAAAATTACAGTGAAAACTGCAGTAGCTAAATAAGGGTAAGAGTGTCTTGAAGCCCCCGGGCTTTATCCTTTCAAAGTTATAGAGTTTTGCTTTGTGTTGGCTCCTCAGGTGAAAGGGAAAGGGAAGGTTCATACCTGAAAGCACAGTGAAGACAGCAGCAAAGGCATTTAACTTGAGCCCATCTATCACACTGCTTGAATGAAAGAGCTCGAGGCACATAAGGCTGAACCCGACGACTAACAGCATGATGTACAACACCTCAGATACTACTGATAACCACAGGACACCTGCAATGCACAAGAGCAGCAACCAGTCACTTAGCTGGTAAGTACTTTCAACAGGTTAAAGTCTGTAAAAATTGATAAGGAAATCAGGAATATCAAGGAACAACTACGGATTAGGAATTTTTTTTTTGTTCAAGTTGGTTGGTCTTTAAGGTCATCAATTGTAATTGTTCTCTAAAGTGTTTAGCACACACCAACTGTCTATTAGGAAAAATTTCTTCACTGAGAGAGTGACTAAGCATTGGCACAGGCTGCCCAGGGCAGTGGTGGGGTCACCATCCCTGGAAGTGCTCAAGAAACACGTGGACATGGCACTTCACAGGCTGGTTTAGTGGGCATGGGGATGTTCAGTCAAAGGTTGGACTTGATGATTTTGGAGGTCTTTTCCAACCACAGCCCAAACTCTGAAAAGCAGAAGTGGTGAATGAAGATGTGGAGAGTGGCAGAGAGTTACAGACACTGTTGAGAGAACAAGCTGTTGCCCAGGATCTCAGCTTGGCTAAAGAACCTCTTCGGTGTCTCTAGAACCTCTTACCTCCTCTCACCCAAAGCATAGCACACAGAATTCATTTTCCCTCCCTGTGCCATGGCTTAGGTGAGCACAATCCAGCACATGTAAAGGTGATGGCACAGGGCACCTGACTGACTGGGAGCTGGTGGGAGCTGAACAAGCTTGGATGGTCTTTTTCACAAGGTTGTTCTGAGAAAATGTTTTCAGTCCAGGGTTTGAAAACCTTGTCACAGCATTGTGTTGAGGGCCATTATTAGAAACTCTTCCACAGAACTGGTGTCCTGCAGAATGACTGTTCTGACTTGGGGTGTTTGGATCCATGGCACAGGGCTATGTTGCTGGGACTAATATGGAAACTGCCAGAATAACAGCAGGGTGGAGACAGTTATTTATAACAGGCTCAGCTGAAGAGCTGCAGAGAGAAAATTCAGTCTGGCTTCTGTTTCCTCAGCCCTTGGGTACAACCCTCAGAGAAAGGGCAGAGCTGAGGTGCCCTGTTGGAGCTCTGCAGGACGTTGGGGTTGTGCACTGGTCAGTGGGTCTGGCAGTGTGTGGCAGTGGCTGGCAGGGACTGATTCATCCCCAGTGGATGCCACATTTGGAAATTTCAGCACAAAACCTTCAGGAGGATCTGCTGAGTCTCTTAAAGCCACCAAGCCATGGGGTAAATTGGGGAGGATGGGAACAGATGATAATATTGAGTCCCTGCCCGATTTCCAATTGCTGTTTCAGCACGAGAATCTGCTAGAATTCTCCAATACATTTGCTATCTGATTGCTAGAGAATTCACCTGGAAACAATGAGTAGTGATGGAAAATTTCAGCCTAAGCGGTTGAAACATGGGAAGTTAAGCATCTGAAGACAATGGCTTATATTAGAAAATGTTGGCTGTAACCATAGAGACTGCTCCAGGCTTCACTTCTATTAGTACCTTCTCTCCTCACTGTGAGAGCACATGTGTGATAATGCCACAGTGAAGCTTATCAAACCAGATAGGCAGTTTCACTTTTATCAAACATTTGAGTATCCTCTTGGTGACCAGGTTGATCCCAGCTCATATTTTGTCTGGGAACTTGTCTTAATAATTACACCTAATTACTATGTGCTATTTGTTGTTGCCACCATATCTGACCTTTCCAGTTCTTAAATTTAACGACAGAGATAGCAATAAATAAACCTTTTAATTGTTTGCTGTATGTGCAATATTGCATCTATCAACAGCAAACAGCTGCTTATCTCACTCCTATTAGTCACTTTGGTATCAGGCAGCTGGCACACTCTTCCAAAAAGAAATGCAAGTGAGAGAGAGCAAGGGTGTTGTTCTGTGATACAACAGGATTAAGAAAGGATTTTTGCCTCATTTTCTCACCACCAGTAGTTTCTATGAGGAGAGAATGACAAAATGATTTGACTATCAAAGAATGAGATGATGTAAACCTGACCCATCAACTGAGGCCACAGAGAGCCCTAACTAATGAGTTGTAATTCATTCAGCCCAAACTTGGGAGGTTATTACAACATACCTGCCCAGAGGTTTGTTGTTCTGTTTCATCTCTTGAGGATATCCACTGGTGGTATCTACACACCAGGACAGTGCTGTAATAGTGTCTGCAGCTCAAGGCTGTGGTGTGGCTCTAGCTTTGCTTCCTTGGGGGAACAACTGGCTGCAAGGTTGGGCTCAAAGGGTTGTAGTCAACGGGGTAACATCAGGCTGGTGGCAAATCACTAGTGGTGCCCAGTGTTGGTGCTTTTTATCAATGACCCAGATACAGGAGTTAGGCACGTGCTAACAAAGTTTACTGATGATACTAAATCAGGAGGAGACATTGAGTGCCTTGAGAGAGGACAGGTCTTAGAGAGGTCTTGGAAGATTTGAGTGCATCACCGTCTGTATGAAATCTAACAAGGGCAAAGGTTGAATTCTGCTCCTGGGACAGTGGATGTACCTATAGGCTGGGGGCAAGAGGCTGGACTGTATCCCTGCAGGAGGGAATAGGGGACAAGAAGCTGGACTGTATCCCTGCAGGAGGGAATCTGAGGGTTTGGTTGATGGCCTGGGGGTTCAGTTGATGTACACAGCTGTATACACCTATAAAACAGTGCTTGAAGCTGCATGCTGGAGACACAAGTGTAATGTGCTTGAGAAATTGCAGCAAGCTACAGAGATGCACATGTCTCCATGGGAGGATCTGGGTTAATGTGTCCAGAAGGTGAGGGATTTTTGCTAGAGGAAGCCTTGGGAGGGACAGGAGAGCTCTGGGAGGTGAACCTGGAGGGCATGGGGGGCAGCTGGTTTCCTTAACCCTCCTGGGGAAGGAGAACAGGAGGAAAGTACACCTGACTGTGTGTTTGGTGCCACAGGGAGTGCATTGTCTTCCCTGACCACAAGGCTAGGAGAAGAGTGGTTTTGCCAGCAGGATAACCTTGCAAGGAGATGATGAAGAGCTCAAAGAGATGTGAATTTTGCTCTCCTGTGAAAACTTTTTCTGAAGAGACACAAAGACTGGGTGAGTTTGCTGTGGAAGACATGGTCAATTCTTCCTTCTCTTTTTGGGCCCTATTCCTATCTGCAAAGGAACTCTATGTCTAACTCTCATGTCTTATTTCATGGTGTACACTGAAGAGGCACAGGCAGGTGCCCTGTGCCTCTTTTAAGTGTATCTAATGTGAGGAAGGTCAGCCCCACATGCAATGTTTGCACTATTCTGGGTATGTCCTCTCCTGCCTGCTTTGATTTTGAATTTCATCTGCAATAATAACACCTAGAAAATGCAAACTGTGTCTGAATTTTGCATCTTCCTGTGGCTGCCTGAAGTAGAACAGTTGCTCCAGGTTATTAATTCAGGAGGCAACATCTTTCTATTCTGTGCTGATGGTGAAGTGATCTCCCACTGCTCCTCTCTCAACATGAGATTCATGAGGCAGTCACTTGGCATCACTTCTACTTACAATCTCTTTACAGCCTCCTTCCTGCAAAGTAGAGAGGTCCTTCTCTTGAGGAGACCTCAGTCATTCCAGGTGACAAGGAAGAAGCTCTCCAGAGGATTTTTCTCTTTTCCAATCTTCTCTGCTGTCACCTTTTCTGTCTGTCTTACTTCCCTCCAGCCTGTGTCCTCTGCCCCAGGGACCTGTCCAGCCTAACTCAGCTTTTGTGAAAAACCTTTCCTTCAGAGGAGTCAGCACTTGATTCACTTGGAGAGTCCTACCCAGATGGCCATATCTGAGGATCTGTATTCTCATAAATCCCCAAATCTCTCTCATTTTTTGGTCTTTGTCCTGTTTATGCATTTTCCTTGCCTGTTCATCAAACCAAGTGCTGCGTGTGCACAGAAGGTGCTGTGGGTTTGGGCACAGAGCTCAGCTGGGCTGTGCCTCCTGTGCCAAGGACATTCCCTGTTAATGCAGGAGGATTTCAGGCCCTGACCTGCCTCCTCCTAGCTGTGTGCAGTGATTGTCAGAGCGTGTGTCACCCCTGCTCACTGTGTAGGAACTAGTGCTGTGACATTGTGGCCACCTAGGAAAGGAGAGTATTTTACTTTAAAACAAAGCTAAATCAAAACTGATTTCACTTGCACTCCCACACACATTCTCACAAAGATGAGTATGTGCAAGGAGTCCATCCTGCACACAGCACCAAGACACAGTGTTTTCAGTCCTTTCCAGGATTCCCTGAACTAATGCAGATGATGCCACCTGTTGAGTCCTCCTCATGTGTTCTGGGCTTTTTGTAGGAGCACAAAAACGTGCTAGGTTTGCATGTTCCTTTTTGTCCTGGACAGGAGCTGACAGTGCTCTGTCTTGCTGTCCTGTCACATCTCTGTTGCACATCATGATTTACTTATTGTTCTGTATCTCTCATCTTGGTGCCTGAGAATCATAGAATCATAGAATCAACGTTGTTCTGTATCTCTCATCCTGGTGTCCGAGAATCATAGAATCATAGAATCAACCTGGTTGGAAGAGACCTCAAGGATCATCGAATCCAACCCTACCGGGGTTACTAGCCCATAGGACTAAGGGCCACATCCAGTCTCACCTTGAAAACTACAGGTAAGTGACCACTGGGATCTTGATGACCCCTGAGGTTGGTACCATCACCACCTTCTATTCTAATACACCTGTTCCTTCCATTTTTGACCCTGATGCTTCTACCCCAACCAGTCTATCACCTCCTCAGCAGTGCTGCTGACAATGACACACTGGATCTTTGCTCCTGCCCCACAGATATGTCACAGGTGAGATTGTTCTGAAGCTAAACATCAACTATGAAGCTCTTCCTGGAGGTAAAGGGGTCAGCATCTTCAGGACAACCTCCTTGTAAAGCAAAAGCACTGAAAGTCCAGGCCCTGGGCCGAGCTGCTCACCTGGAAATTGAGATGGCAAAGCTGGCACTCACGGGAAGATTTCACATAAGCAACTTATATCATAGAGCTCCTACCTCAGGGGGAATCATATTGCTTTCATATCACCTGATCTCAAGGCAGGTTGTCAT